AACAACAAAACACCTCGAATAGCTAAAACCCTCTTGTCTAAGAAAAAACAGAATGGAGGCATCACAATCCCAAACTTCAAACTATACTAGAAAGCCATACTAATCAAAACTGCACAGTACTGGAACAAGAATAGACATACAGACCAGTGGTTTCAAATAGAAAAGCCAGATATAAACCCACAAGTTTATGGACAGCTAATCTTTGACAAAGGAGCAAAGAAGATACAATGGAACAAAGAAAGTTTGTTCAGTAAATGGTGCTGGGAAAACTAAGAAGCTACATGCAAAAAAAAAAACCTGAAACTAGATCACTACCTCTCACCATACACAAAAATCAACTCAAAGTGGATTAAAGACCTAGACATAAGAATGGAAACCATAAAATACCTGGAAGCAAAGATAGGCCAAACACTACACAACATACACTTCAGCAACATCTTTAAAAATAGAGCACCCAATGCAATGATAGTGAAGGCAAGGATAAGTAGATGGGACTACATCAAGTTAAAGAGCTTCTGTAGAGCAAGAGAGATTACAAAAAACAGACAGACAGTCCAGTAATTGAGAAAACAATTTCTCACACAAAAGTAGTGATAAAGGACTGATCACAAAAATATACGGAGAACTGATGAAACTCAACAAAAACAAATAACCCAATCAAAAAAATGGGCAGAAGAGCTAAAAAGACACTTCTCCAAAGAGGAAATGGAGATGGTCAACAAACCTATGAAAAAATGTTCAACATCACTCGTAATAAGGGAGATGCAAATTAAAACCACAATGAGATACCACCTCATTCCAGTGAGAATGGCACATCTTCAAACAACAAGTAATAACAAATGTCAGCGAGGATGTGGAGAAAAAGGAACTCTCCTACACTGCTGGTGGGAATGAAAACTAGTACAACCACTATGGAAAACTGTTTGGAGGCTCCTCAAACTGCTAAACATGGAGCTTCCCTATGATCCAGCAATCCCACTTCCCTATGATCCAGCAATCTACCCAAAAGACACAAAAACACTGATTCAAAAAAGATACCTGCACCCCTATGTTTATTGCTGCTTTATTTACAATTGGAAAAACATGGAAGCAGCCCAAATGCCCAAACGTAGATGAATGGATCAAAAAGAGGTGGTACATATACACAATGGAATATTACTCAGCAACCAAAAAAGAGAAACACATGTCTTTTGCAGCAACTTGGATAAAGCTGGAAAAGATCATGCTTAGTGAAAGAAGCCAGAAAGAAAAAGAAAAATACTGGATGGTTTCACTCTCGCCTGGACCAGGCAAGAAAATAATAATAATGAACAGCCATTACCAGAGACATTTTATGGGGGTGGAGTAGTGAATGGGAGGGAAGTGCGCTGGATTATGGTGGGGGGAGAGGAGGGAAGTGTACTAGACTACAGTGATGGCACATGGGTGAGTTGGTGATGGGAAAACCCATGGGGATTACAATTGAGGTGGAAAAAAAAAATAAAGTACAAAATGATTTAAATATAAACTACTATAAAAAAATTCTCTTGACTTTCCACAGTAAAAAATGAAACATTTCTTTAAAAGGTTTTCCTTCTCTGTCCATGTAAAATGTCAGAAAACTGCTTACTTGCATATATCCACATCTTTGCTCCATAATAGCACACACACCGCTGACACACTTTATTGGATAAAGAAAAGACCAACTGGCAAATCTAACCAATCCCAGTTTAAATTCTGGTTGTTTTGATTCTGACAAACTAAAATTTTATAGAACCGTTCTTTTAGAACAGTGGAATTTATCTCACACTAGGAAAAAAAAATTATAGAACCAGATAACAAGCAGTATAAGTAAGCTTTTTGATTGTCCACAGGTCCACGAAACTAACACCCCTTCTATATTCTTCCCTCATAATCCCACTCTCTTGGAGCACACAATGGGTTGTTACAATGTTGAATCAGGACATGATTACCTCATAGAATCTCTGAGTTGCAAGAAATTTTAAACAATGTTATTTTACCCCAATGTCTCCTCTACCACATTCCTGCCAAAAAGGCCACACAGATACAATGACAGAACCACTCCCAGAAATCATTCAGAAAGCATAAGAAAAAGCAACTGAAAATTTCTGATTTTGGAAAATAGGAGAAGGTTCCTGAAACTACAGACCAGTTAATGTAATGTCAATCATCAAGAACTCTAGATAAAATTAATTAAACAAATTGGCAGAACTCAAGAGAAAATGCAATTCTGGATGCTAGAACAGATAAAACGTAACAAATTATGAAAAACTAACCTTATTTCTCTTGGTAGACCTACTAGACTTTTCATAGACCTATCAAGACAATACTGTATTCTCAATGTATTTGAAAGTTTTCTATGATACAACTTGAAGCAAAAAAACTTTAAGATATACCTGAGCTTTCCTAAAATCATCACTGCCTGGCAAGTGGAGCTATTCATTTCTATCTCCATCCCCATCCTCAAGAGTGATCTTTTTTTTTTTTTTTTACAAATTTATTTATTTATGCATAGAAGAATAGAAGAACAGGAGAACAGAGAGAATTCACCAGAGACAGAGTAGGGAGCAGAACAGGCAGATCTACTGAAATTCCAGAAGTGTGGGGATTGGGAGGAGAACGGAGAGAATTCACCAGAGACAGAGTGGGGAGCAGAACAGGCAGATCTACTGAAATGGCCAGAAATGTGGGGATTGGGAGAAGAACGGAGAGAATTCACCAGAGACAGAGTGGGGAGCAGAACAGGCAGATCTACTGAACAGGCAGATCTACTGAAATACATTGCTAAGGGGAACAGCGGTTGAGTCAGTGCTGCAGTGACTGCGGTAGCCTGATAGTGTTCTGCTTTAACTCGTTTTGCCACGAGGGAGGGCCCCTAGAGACTCACCACATACAATTCAGTCTATACCCCACACCTGTATCTCTGAAACCCCTCAGCCTCAGGTTCTGACAGTTGGAAATCAGGCCAGTACAAACAGAAAAAAAGTGCCAACATAGAGCTGCACAAGAAGAGCCATTGATGGTTAACTGAGAACCAGTTTTATTGAGAAATAAAAGCTGAAGGTGTATAGTATAGTACTCATCAGTATGTTCAGGGATATTAATTGTTTTAAATATGCATTTTTACTTCCATCACAATATTTTCTCTTTCAGTTGCAAGAAGTTCGTTTTGTTTTAAAAGAAGGGTGATTTTTTTTAATACGTTATTTATTTATGCATACAGAACTGGGGTACAGGCCAGAGGTGGCGGAGATGAGAGGATTCACCAGAGATAGAGTGGGGAGAACAGGCAGATGTTCTGAAATACTCTGTTGAAGGGAGCAGCGGTCAAGTCAGGAGAGGTCTGCCACGCCATATGGGTCACTTCCCTGGCCAGGGACTGAACCTGTGCTGCAGTGGCTGCAATAGCTTCAAAGTGCTAAGCTTTAGCCCTTTGCACCACCACACAGGTCCTGCAAGTTGTTTCTTTAGACAAGTTATATAGGCATATTCTTTTTAAAGTATAAATAATTTACTTTTTTTTTTATCATTTTCACTAGTACAATGTTTTACCTATGTAAATAACTTTCATATTTTCTCAAATTTTTACTAAGATCTCCACTGTCTCTGTGTTCCCACTGGTACCTTTCCTAGTCCTGAAAAAGACAACTCTTTTCCATCTTAAGATCTTTGGATGTTTTGCTCTCAAGCTGCTCTACCAGGAATATTTCTTCCTTCACATTACTTACATAGTTGGTTTGTTTATACTTTTTAAATTTCAGAAATCACATATTACCAACTCAGTTAATTCTTCTTTGTACTATAACATAGTACACCTACTACCCTAGTTTCTATTCTTCATCACAAAACTATCCATTTCCTTCAAAATGAAGCCATCTATATTTTTCCACATAAGCAGGAAATGTTTGCTCTCGAACAGCATATTGGTGTATTTTATTGCGATTTAAACTGATTAGTAAATATTGGAAACTTGAGGGAAAAAAATTAAAAATAATACAGAAGTTTCCTCTTTTCATAGGCCCTTGTTTAATTATTTGCAGGTACCACCTTTTAATATTTCCACAATGGAAAAAATGTTTAGTAAATTTACAAATTTACACATATTTTAGTCCTCAAACATATATCCTCATCAATTCCCAAATAGACATAAAGCAATCTTAAAACCATCTCTTCCATGAACATACAACTTTCCAAAATCAGCGCTACTTAAACTGTATAGGCTTACCTCGTTATTGGTATAATGTAGATCCATGGACTGTCCAAAAGCTATTTTAGCTTTAGACTTCAAATCTTCTAGTTTAACTGGCCTGGGGAATTGAAGGATTCTATATAGAGAGAATTTTTAGGTTATTTTATTTCCTTAAACATAACTTGTACAGTTGTTATTTTTTAAGTAAAAACATAAATAAACACTTGAACTTTCCAATGGATCCTTTTTGATTAAGTATATTTTCAACACAAAGTTAAAAAAATCTGAGCCTCTAGTGGCCTAGGAGTTAAGTCTCAGTGCTAATTGTTGACAACTAACCACTTCCACCTCCACTACTGTACTGAAATATTGATGGTTAAATTTATATCTCTGCTAAATAATTGACAGCTACCATTCAAGCTTCCCTCCCTCAATGTTACTAATTAAATGTTATATGATTGAGGCCTCTTGAAAATAATCAAAATCATGAAGAAAGAAGTTCACAAACAGAAATTCTGTATAGTATCTAAAAGAGTGATACAATTGTGATAAGGAGAGATATACTGAATTTCTACTGAGTATATTAAAAATAAAAGGAAATGGTAACATTTAAAGGTTGTATGATGTAACAAAATTATTTATTTCCTAATATTGCATATTATCATTTCTAAATTTTGACAGATTCTATCTTAATCTAAGTAGATGTCTCACTTTACTCAATACAAAAGTCATGAACCTTCACTATCGTCTAGAAAGAATCTCTAACAGTTTAACTAGGACATCCATTTGGTTAAATCAACACACTGCAATGTAGTGTTTCTTTCCTTACCGTTTTTCTCCTCTATGTTCAAATTTTACTCGGACATCATTCTGTAAAGAAATGATACATCATCACTTTAGACTAAGATTAAAATTTCTATATCATATTATTTCTTTGTTGTCTATTTAAAAGAGAGCAGAGTGGGTAGGAGGTTTCATTTGCAGTGTCAATGCCAATCAACTGACAGGTCTTCCAAAGAGCTGAACTGATAATTATGTTGCTGAATCTAAGCCCAACTGGAAAGAGTACAAGAGCTATTAGTGAGGGCATTGTGGGTATGAGACATAGTTAATCCTGTCAGGGGAAGCATAGAAAATTATATTATACTCATAACTTTTTTTTAAATAATATAATAGCTTATTTTTACATCATTTTGTGCCTTTTTCCATCTCAGTTTTAATCCCCATGGGCTTCCCATCACCAAATCACCAGTGAGCCATCACCATAGTCCCTCACCCCATTTTTGATCCAATTCCCCATCCCACCCCGTAAAATGTCTCTGATATACAGTTGTTCATTATTATTTTGCCCCTTGGTCTGTTATACTCCTACTATGAGTGAAACCATTCAGTATTTTTCTTTTTCTTTCTGGCTTATTTCACTAAGCATGATCCCTTCCAGCTCCATCCATGTTGCTGCAAAAGGCAAGACATGCCTAACATTTTATTTTTACATATTACAGAAACTCCGATTTATAAATATACAGGACAGATTGTTTTATTTATATTTTTTATTTTTAAATATATTCATTATCATCCTACATATTTGTACAATATGTGGTTTCCCCGTGAAATTCCCACCACCAACTCACCCATGCACCCTCACTATAGTCCCTTGTGCTCTTCCCACCCCTGTCCTGGTCTTTCTCCCTCTTCCACCCCCAGAACAAATTGTATTCAATAAAAACAATTTGCCTAATTTTAATAGCTTGGATGAAATACCAGCTTTGAGAGCAGTTACCACATTGAAAGAAACCATGATTTATGAAAAATACATGCCCTTATGGCAAAATATTTAACAAACAACAAAATACTATATTTAAAAATGTAAGAGTAAAATACTTTAAACAAATTCTCTATAAAAAACAGGACAATCAAAGAAAATAATTCATAAAACAACTATATGTCAATTAAATATCATTGCAACAAATACCTGTTTTTTGGGGGATAAAGACTTTGTTTTTCTGGCTTCTTGTAATGATAATGCAGGTCTACTGGCCTTATGAAGAACAGCCAAATCTTGCATGATTGAATTCAAAGCTTGCTGATCATCTAGGTATTTCAAAATAATATACACAAAATTGAAATCTTAGTATGTATTTATCATAACACCAAACACAAGATTGATATAAAACAGTGTAAAATGTGTTAATTTAATGCAAAACTACATCTAGAAAATTTTCAAATGCTCATACTTCTTCTTTTTTGGTAAAATAAAAAATTATTTTTTTAACTAAAACATAGTAACATTAAAATTGCGGAAGACTCATGCCATACTAGTACCCACATATGAGAACTTTAGAAGCAAGAAATCATTTTCATTCTTTTAATGACATAACATCTTAGGATATGGGTCAGAACAATCTGATTAGAATATATTCCTTTGTATGACTCCTAAACAAAACATCTTAAAATAAGACCTCTAAAAATCTTAATTAAAACAAATGGGGGGAAATCCTTCTATAAATATCATTATTTAGCATTTATATTCAAATATAGCATTCCTTTTAGACTTTTTCTTTTTTTATTTAAATATATATATACATACATACATACATATATATTTATACCACTATTCATTTTTGTACAATGTATACTTTTTCTCAAGGTAGACTTTTTCTCTTTCATCAGTACTTCAAGTTAGGAACAAAGAAAAGCTTAATCTTTGGATTATAATCTACTAAGTCAATTCTACCAATGGTAATCAACAACTGGTAAACAGAAGAATGAAGAAACTCTACAGCTTACATTTCAAAGGTAACCATTTTAACCCCCATTCCCTTCCACCCATTCAACCCACATGTGGCCCATCAGACCTCTACTGTCTTGCCCACTGCTCCCTTGGGCAGTGTATTCCAATAAAGCCACCCTGTCCTGCTCCCTACTCTCTCTGGCAAACCCTCTCACCTCCCACATCTCTGGCCTATACCCCAGTTCCCCTAGGCAAAAAAATTAAAAATGTAACCATGTTAGTGAGCAATAACTTAGGTTCTAGAATAGTTAACAACTAAAACATGTTTTAGATTCTACAGGGACACCACTAAAAAAGACCGTGGCAATTCAATTGCTTCATCAGTCTCAATAACACAAATACCCAATTCCTCTAATGAATGAGCTTTCAGTAATACTCAGTATATTCTGTTTTACTGTAAAACTATTTCACATAAAACTTAAAATTAGTGGTACCTAAAGTTCTAGTACTAAGATTCACATTTAAAGGAAATTTTATAATCCTTCATGAATTATCCTTTGTAAAATTTTATCATAATGTTACCTTAGGATTAACTGAGTCAATTGTGTTATTATATAATTACAAAATGTGATCCAAGTCCGACTATATCATTTATTAATAAAAAATAAATCTTCCTTTAGGAGATATAAGCTGAGAATCATCTCAACTGAAATAAAATTATCTAATGTGACCTTTCTGAGAAAGGTTAAGATCCTTAATTTGACATTTAGGAGAGGAGAAACTCTAATAATTAATATTTGCTCTAATTATTTCATGAAAAAACTTAAAACATTTGAGACTCTACAATTCAGGGCAGCTTTCCTGTTCTGTTAATTAAACCTGGAACACTGAAACATGGACAAAAGTTGACAACTGGATGTTATTGCTCTGTGTATTACCTCCCAGGTTACAAAAATGAAAAGAAAAAAACAAAACATTTTTACATGTTCAGTATCACAAAATCAAAAATAAATAAATGTGTGTGGGAAGGCTTTGGTAAGTCTTTTAACATATTTACATGCTCTTACTTCCTTATTTTTTAAAAAATGAGTACTATTTTTCATTACAGATGTACAAAAACTAAAGAGAAAGATTCGAAGAACATTAACTTAGAGAGATAACATACAAAGGGCAACTTTGACTTTCTTCTCTTTCTGGCTTGAAGAAGAATCATTAGATAGGTGAAAGCCCAGTTGGAAACTTACTTTGAGGAGCTGCCAAGACGTAAGCTCACAAGCCCACAAAACATCAAGCAAAGTGGTGAAATACACTGCAAGCACTGCTATAAAATTCTTTTTTTTTTTAAGATTTATTTATTATGTACACAGAACTGGGGAGCAGTAGGGAGCAGAGCAGTGTCATATGGGTCAGCTCCCTGGCTGGGGACTGAACTCATATTGAAGCGCTGCAACTAGTTTTTGTAGTGCTGCACTTTAAGCCACTGCATCACCATGGAGAGCCCCTGTTAGAAAATTCTCAAGCTGTTTTACCCTACTAAGAATCCTTGTGGCAGTCATATGTACTAAGCAGAGTAGAAAGGTCATAAATGTCATAAGGATCATAAGATGACAAAGTAGGTTGAGCTAAAGCTCAGAGGATCTAAGAGTCATTAGACTCTTAGTCACATAAAAGAGACAGATTTCTGATTCATGTTAAAAGGACATTTACTTTAGGGCCTCCCTGGTGGCACAAAGGTTTGGGTCTCAGCTCTATGAAGCTATCGGCAACCACTGAAACATGAGTTCAATCCCCCGGCCAGAGAGCTGACCCACATATGGCGCAGCAGTCCTCTCTTGTCTTGCCCCATGCTCTCCTTTGCAGTGTATTCCAGTATATCTCCCTGTTCTATTCCCACTTTGTCTCTGGTGAATCCTCTCACCTCCTGCACTTCTGGCCTACATCCCAGCTCTTGTATGCATAAATAAATAAATCTTGGGGGGGGGGAAAGGATATTTACTTTAGCATAAAACCTGAAATATTTGGTAAATATTTTTTAGTAAAATTTTTTACCAGAAATGTTTACTTAGATACCTTAAGTTTATTCATTATATTTGAACATTTATAGAACATTCTTAATTTAAAAATTCAATCATCATTCACATTTTTAAAGATTTATTTGTATTTATTTATGCATATAATAATGGATATGTACGCCAGAGGTCCTGGGCATGAGAGGATTCACCAGACACAGAGTGAGGAGTGAAACAGGTGAATCTATTGAAATACACTGCTATGGGGAGTAGCAGGTGAGATAGGAGAGGTCTGCTATGCAACGTATGGGTTAGCTCCCTGCCCAGGGATCAAACTCAGGCCACTGTTACAGTGATAGTGTGATAGTGCTGAGATTTAAGCCCTATACCACCAGGAAGATTTTCTTGACTATCTTTGTATAAGCAATGACTGTTCTTTGTTTTGTTGCTTACTACTGAAGTATCATTTGAGAGGATGGTAGAAATCAGTTTGATTATCTTGTATTAATCAAGGCTCAGATGGCAAGTGACAACAATAAAACGGAAAAATGGGCAGGAATTCAGTTAACAGATATCCAATTTGTTACTGGAGGTGAAACTGAACAGGGTGGAGAATCTGAACTACAAGAGGAAACTGCACCTATGGCTACAAAACAGAGTGAAAGAAATTTTTAAAGTTGAATGTGACACTTCAGTTTACACCCTTGCCATAAGCAGACAACACACTGAAAGTGTGCTAGATCTTTCACTAAAGAACATGAACTAATTCAAATTCTTTGACCTAGAATATCATATATGGATATATAAGAATGTGTGTGAGCAGCAGGAGCAGTATGACAAAACTGGCAGAGTTACAGTATCGGGAACAGTCTATAAGTTTTTCCCATTTAGGAAAGAGCAGGCAACTGATCCTTTACCTTTTTTTTTTTTTTTTAAGTGTTTCCTATCTAGAGCTGGTATTACAACAGAATCCAAGACTCCGAGGAGAAAAGAAAAAGGAGATAAAGAAGAACACAAATGACATATAAACTGAATATTCACAACTCCTCCCACTCTCTCTCTATATTAACATAGTATCACAGAACATTCAGCAGATCCTCCTTGAACAAAAATGATTTCCTACTCTAGTCTAAGAGTATATGACTTATTTTATGTTGCTATTTTCCTTATCTATATTACTTATATTGTTGGGCAATTATAACAATGTATTCCTCTGTATTGAGTCAACATTTAAAAGTTAAGTTTAGGGCGCTCCCTGGTGGCACAGCGGGTTAAAGCACAGCACTAAGAAGCTAAAGCCATTTCAGCATGAGTTCAATCCCCGCACTGGAGGTGACCCACTTGGCATGGCAGACCTCTCCTGATCTCCTCCCTCTCCCTCGCTGCTCCCCTCAGCAGTGTACTTCATCAATCTGCCTGTTCTGCTCCCCACCCTGTCTCTGGTGCATCCTCTCACCACCCCTGCACCTCTGGCCTGTACCCAAATTCTGTATGCATAAATAAATAAATCTTTAAAAAAGAATCTAATTTATCAGATATTCTCAATATCCATTGGCCTCTAAGAAAACCACAGCCCAGCTTAAGTTATTCTATATACTGAAATACACCGCTAAGGGGATATCTTGCATAAAATGATTATTCCCAAACTATAGCAAGCACAAAAGTACTTTAATTAAAAACCCACTAATAAATATTACATAAATATACTACATCTATTAAAAAAACTTTACCATACACAGAGAAAATTTCTTCTTTCCCCATTTTATCCTTTAATTATAAATGAAAACATTTCAGTTTGAACTTACCCATCATGGCAACCAGCTCCACAATCCGATAGTTAGGGAAGTGGTTATCCCATCAGCATTCTTTTTTGCCTTGGAAGGTAAAAAGATGAATGAAAGATGAATATTAAGAAGAAACAAAAGCAGCATCCACAAAAGAAAAATGTCTGTATCAACAATGAGAACAGTAATAGTAATACTTTCTACATCTTGCTAGGGAAAGATGCCTTACTTGTCCCAGTTATTTAATTATTTATTGAGAATGAGCTACAAAGAGAGACAGATTGAGGGAATATGAACTAAGGAACAATCTGCAATGACAGATAATAAATATAAGTGAAAAAAATCATAACGTTTAGAGACAAAAGGAAGGATTATCAGCAAAGTTGTAAAGATCTACAAAAATTCTCTCATAGGGCCCTCCCTGGTGGCACAACACGTTAAAGTGCAGCACTATACAGCGGCATCCACTTCAGCAGGAGTTGGGTCCCGAGCCAGGGAGGTGATCCATATGGTGCAGCAGACCTTTCCTGTCTCACCTGCTGCTCCCCTCAACAGTGTACTTTATCAATCTGCCTGTTCTGCTCCCCACTCTATCTCTGATGAATCCTCTCACCCCCTACACCTCTGGCTTGTACCCCAGTTTTGTATGCATAAATAAATGAATCTTTAAAAAAAATTCTCTCATAAAAATTATCAGAATAACTTTTTCAGAACTCTGGAATTAAGCAAACACTATGCAGAAATCTGCTGCTTATTTCAAAATCTTGGTAAGAAAGAGAGCAAGGTAGCTATCACCACAACAGCCTGAGTTTGTATCCCCAGCCAAGAAGCTAAGCCACATATGGGGCAACAACTTCTCCTGTCTTGCCTACTGTTCCCCTTAGTATATTTTAGTGGATCTGCCTGTTGTGCTCCTCACTCTGCCTCTGGTGAATCCTCTTACCTCCCTCCCCATACCTCTAGGCTGCATCCCAGTAAGAAAAGAAATCTTTTTTTTTTTTTTAAGTTTAAGAAAAGCTGAAGAATTCTATACCAATAGCGACCTTTGAAAAGTTCCAACAGATTGTTGGGAATCTGGAAGTCACACAAATGACTGTTGCATACTCAAAAAAGGCCTGAGAAGACTCTTAGTTTTCACCTCTGCCTAAACTTGAAGCTCTGTATAAGCAGTAAGTGGAAATTATGGCAGAGAACTAAATGACAGAGAGAATATTAAAGACCAGTCCCACCATAAACAAAGAGAACCTCTCAAGAAAAGACTGGGATACTTATTGTTTATAGACATCAAATGAAAACTCCATTAATCGTTAGATGATTTACTAAACTGGGCATGTTCAATAACCACACACAACAAAGAATACAGATTTGAAACAATTCTCAAAAGTCACTAAACAAGTAAATAAAAACAACAAACAAAAACACCAGGGAGGAAGAAGAATCTGATTTCCAGGGATAGAATACTATAACACTTAAAATGTCCAATTTTCAGGGCATCCCTAGTGTTACAAGGGGTTAAGATGCAGCACTATGAAGTTATCCACAGCCACTGCAGCACGAATTTGATCCCCAGCCAGGGAGGTGACATATGGCATGGCAGACCTCTCCTGTCTTGACCATTGCTCCCCTCAGCAATGTATTTTAGTTGATCTGCCTGTTCTGCTCCCAACTGTCTCTGGTGAGTCCTCTCACCTACCACACCTCTGGCTTACACCCCAGCACTTGTATGCATAAATAAATAAAGCTTTAAAAAAAAAAACTCCAGCTTTCAAGAAAATATTATGATATATACAAACACATTATGATTCATACACCAAGAAAAAAGTAATCAACAGAAAGTAGGAAGCCCAAATATTAAACTAAGTAGACAAAGACATTAAATTAGCTATTTAAAATATGTTCAAACAGTAAAGATGACTAAAGAAGAATGCATATGAAAAATGTCTCACCACACTTGCCAGCAATAAAGAAATAAAAAATTCTACAATGGAAACACTTGGGAATTCGAAAGTAAATTAACTAAAGTCATATAGCATATCAACAAATCCACTGAGTCCCAGAAGAGGAGGAAAAAATGAAAAAGTACTTCAAGAAATAATGCAGGGCCCTCCCTGTAGGCACAATGGATAGGACACAGCACAGCAAGCTAGCCTCAGCCACCTCAGTGCAAGTTGATCCCTGGCCCCAGAGGTGACCCACAAGGCACAAGAGACCTCTCCAGTCTCTCCTGCTGCTCCCCTCAGCAGTGTACCTCCTCAATCTGCCTTTTCTGCTCCCCACTCTGTCTCTGATTAATCCTCTCACTGCCCCTGAACCTCTGGCCTGTACCCCAGTTCTGTATGTATAAGTAAATAAACCTTTAAACAAAATAAATAATGCAAAAAACTCCCCATGTTTGGTGAAAAATAATCCTGCCTAACCAAGAAGCTCTATAAACTCCAAGTAAGATAAAATCAAAGTGACCAACATATAGAGGCATCATAATAAAATTAATGAAAGACAAAAAATCTTGAAAGCAGCAAGAGAGAAGAAATGTACCACATCACAGGATGCTCAACTGATTTTTCATCATTAACTGAGGAAGCCAGAAAACAATAGGATGACATGTTCAAAATAACGAAAGAGACTGTCGACCAAGAATCTTATATCCAGCAAAAGCCATCTTACAAAACTAAAGAAAAACCTAAGCTATTCCTAGACAAATAAAAAAATCAACAAAACCAGACTTGAAAGAAATACTAAAGGAGTATTTCAGGCTGAAATGAAACAACACTAGACAGTAAATCCAATCCAGATGAATAGTAAAAAGTACCAGTAATGGTAATTATGTAAATAAAGATGAAAGAAGTCTTAAGTTTATTTTTTGTTCCTAATTATTTATTTCTCCTATCCAACTATGTCAGGTAGAAAAATGCCTACCCCAGAGATGTCCATGTCTCAATTTCTAGAACTCTTGCACATAAATTATCTTACATGGCAAGGGGGATTTTGCAGAGATAATAAATTAAGAAATTTAAAATGGATAGATTGTCCTGGTTATTTGGTTGGGGCCCAACAAGTCACAGGGGTACTTATAAATAACCAGTCAGGAATTAGGAAGCATTACTAGAAATCTTATAAAAATAAAAGCAGTGGCCCTCCCTGGTGGCGCAGCGGGTTAAAGCACTGCACTGAGAAACTAAAGCCACTTCCGCATGAGTTCAATCCCCGCCTGCCCCGGAGGTGACCACATGGCGCGGCAGACCTCTCCTGACCCGCCCGCTGCTCCCCTCAGCAGTGTACTTCGCAGATCTGCCTGTTCTGCTCCCCGCTCTGTCTCTGGTGAATCCTCTCACCCTCCGCATCTCTGGCCTGTACCCTAGTTCTGTATGAATAAATAAATAAATCTTTAAAAAAAAATAAAAGCAGTAAGGGAAAAATGAGAAATTCTATGTGAACAAATCTGATCACCTAGATGAAATGAATTACTAGAAATAAATGACTAAGCCAAGGCAAGACAAAATTTTAAAAATCTAAACAACCTGTAAAAGTAAAGAGATTGAATCAGAAATGAAAAACTTTTGACAAGCAAAAAGGCCAGTTGACCTCACACATTTAAGGAGGAATAACAAAGAAAACTTCATGAGGTCCTTGTGAATACAAATTAAAAATATATATATATCCTAAACCAAACTAATTAGCAAAACTAATCCACAACATGAAAGGGGAGACTATACATACACTATGAAAACATGAAATATCCCACAAAAGCAAAGTAAGTTGAGTACACAAAATCAATAAATGTCATATTGATCTAATGAGGAACAAAAATGTTATGGTCATCTCAACACAAAAAAAAATGCATATGCCAAAATCCAGGTGCCTAAAATACTTAGAAGACTATGAATACAGAACTTCCTCAAGTTGATGAAGGTTATCTATGAAAAACCCACAGGTAATCATCACACTTAAGGTAAAAGCTAAATGCATACCCACTAAGCTCAGGATCAAGACAAGAATGCACAACCACTTTCCTATTTAATATTTACTGGAGGTTCTAATAAAAAGATAAGGCAGTAAAATTATTCCTTTTGTTGGTGACAACATTATATATGGAAAATTCTCAGGAATTCACAAAAACACTATCAGAGCTAGAGAAAAGAGTTCAGCACAGCTGTAGGATACAAGATCAACACTCAAAAATCAGTTATATTTTTATACACTAGCAATGAACAATATGGAAATGAAAGTAAGAGATACTCCCATTTATAATTGTATCAAAAAGGATAAACTACATAGGAATATATTAAACAAAAAAAAATCACTAATTTTGGGTCTCCTTAGTGGCACAGCAATTAAAAGCATAGTGCTATTAAGCTAACAGCAGCCACTGCAGCATGAGTTCAATCCTGGCATGGTAGACTATCTCGCCCACTGTTCCCCTCAGCAGTGTATCTCAATAAATGTGGCTATTCTGCTCCCCACTCTCTCTGGTGAATCCTCTCAGACACCACCACCACCCCTCCTTACCTCTGGCCTACACCCTTGTTTTTATATACATACATAAATAAATCTTTTTTAAAACATCACTAGTCTTGTACAGTGAAAATTATAAAACACTGCTAAAAGTTATTAAAGTAATCTAAGTATATGGAAAGACAACCTGTGTTAGCGGCCTGGAAAACAGTATTTTAAAGATAGGATACTCCCAAAGTACCCTGCAGGCCAAAAACAAGTACACAAAGTATCTTCTGGAGTGATAAAATGTTCTGGAACAGTTGTAATATCTGCACAATTTTGTAAATATTAAAAACTGAGCTGCATATTTTTTAAAAGACTAATTTCATGGTAGATGAATTATAGAAAGACAGGGAAGCTGTCTAAACATCTTCCGTAAAAAGATCATGAAGTCACTGAGCTCAAACACATTTTATTAACCTCTGTCTTCACCTAGAAATGACAATCAAAACTGTGCTCAATATAAGTTTATTAGCCTGTTCTAACAAGATCTTAACTTTCAGGTTTATAAGAAGCTAATAATCATAAGATTTATTTCATTTTATTAATATGCTCAAATTACAAGTTAAAAGAGATCTATGTAAGTGCTCCATGAGAAATCAATAGTAAA